TGGTATTAATACCACAGACTATCAATTTTTATTAAATTCATATTGAACTGGTCATATGATACTCAACTAAGTATCATAGTACTAGCAAAGTACAGTCAATATTTCAGGCACCAAACATAACTCTTAAGTCAGGAATCTGAAGTGAAATCAACAGATAGGGAGCCTACATATCTTGTCACAAACCATGAAATAATCAACATTTCACCAGAACACAAAATTAAGCAAATGATAAGTAGATCATTGTGTATCTTCCTTTTCATTTACCATGAAAGATACACACAATTTTATATGGAACACAATATTACAAAAGTCACACAAAGTACGTTAAAGTAATGTATACATCAACACTGAACTGGAAGTAAAATTGAAAGCTAAAAGATATTCTGTTGTTAAGAAGTTTCATTTAAAACAAACATAACTGAAAAACATGGGACACTTGCTCAGTGGCTTTCTATATAAATATACATTTATGTACAGAATCTGAATACTTTGGAAACACTTAATTGAAAAAAAAGATAACTGACAGTAAAACTTACAATTATATAGGAGTAATTAAAGAATCAGCAGGAGTATCAACTTTCACTCCGTCCCAACATTAGGAAAAGATGAATGAAACGTATGCACTAGTGTTACATGACACGTTACAAGTCTGATAGATCATAGCGAGTAACAGCCTATGTAACCATAAAACAACATTTCAACATCAATTTACAGCATTACTTACACATATAAGAGCTAATTTTATAAGACAGAACAAGAAATTTTTCCAATATCAATTGTACAGTATCATTCTGCAAAAACAAATTAATAAACCAATAAAAACTCACTTAATGTTATTTTTTAAACATTCAACCAGCTACCTGAAGAGGTTGTGTCAGTAATTTTTTTTAATTCTTGTAAATATATGCAGTGTTATTTAAAGCTGTACAATAAAACCTACATAAAACTATGGTTTTAGCTCTTATCTAATGGTAAGCAAGTGTGGCTATAATCCCAATAGTAGTTGCTATCTTTCTTTGTATAAAATAACAGATTTGAATAATAACTTGCCTCTTGCATCCACATGCCATATTAACATCAGCTGGGCGTAATCAGGGGCAAATTGGGGACTAAAAATGGTTCAAGAAATGAATTTTACATCGGCCCACCTATGAGATTAGGGGAGAGAGAATTCTGATAAAAACTTAAGCAGTGTAGCATAGCCTATATAGTATGTACTAGTATTATTCATACAGTTCATAAATTAAAAAAAAATACACTGTGCAAAATTGTTCATTTACAATCAACATTTATTACCCGTTTTAGTACAGACTTAATGACCATAAAATTACATGAAGTGAAACTAATTCACATAAAATTCATTTTTAAAAGAGTAATGAAGTTACCCATTTGTCACTCATCCATGCTACATCTATTCTGTAAGATAAACAGTTAACAGGAAATTAGCAGCCCAATTGAGCCTGATTTAAAAATAAAAAAAAATACAATTTTCAAAGACGGACTACTGGCATGCCACGAGTTTTCCAGGTGTTCTGGTAGCCCAAACTGCTCCTAGGTGTAATCACTAGTTAGCACTGCTGTGTAACAGTTCTATATGTTCTATCATCAGTCATCAAGTTAATCAACAAAGGTAACCTTCACGTGTAATTATGGTAGCCAATAATCAAAATGTCACTATTTATAACGTACAAAGTTTAGGATATCCTAAGACTTCACGTTCTTGCTAAATTTTAAGAAAATTCTTGATATCTTATTAATTCATTTATAAATGATTGTCCAACAAAGCACAATAAAATATTATTACTCTATCTTTAAATATAAAAAGAGCACAAACACAAATAAATAACCAATGTAAATTCCAGCTAAATGCATTTCAGAGCTAATCAAACATTATTTCAAATTCTGTAATACTGGTGTCTGTACCTTCTACATCAACTATTGAACAATAATGAAAAATATGGAATTTTAATGCAAGTTGAAGGCCAACAACAAATATAATTCCTTGTTTCTCATGAAAATCAGGTTTTTCAATTTATTTGGAAGATCATAATTAATTACTGATAGCAATAAGAAAATCATTAGAATTTATATATTACTGACTGCTAAGGATGTAACCCAGAATAAAACTACAGATGTTAAATAGACTATTATTTTTAACAGAATAAATTACAGTATTATGTTCTATACATGTTTTATAATCTAAATGTACATGTAATATCATGATACTGATATAGTTAGTCATCTAATTTTAAGAGGCTCTTTTAGCTTTATCATACATAAAAATGAAATCAATATACAATATTAATACAGGTACTATATACTTTTAAAACCTTCAGTGGGCTACGTTATATACAAAATATGCATCATGTGATAGGAATATTTCTAACTTCTTCATAAGTTGGAAACTCATGAACTTGGACTTGTTCTGCTGTCTTATATGATGGGTAAAGTCCAGACCTCTTGGTCCGTCGGTTAATTCCTTTGGAGTATCCATCCCAATGATTACCTGCAATGCCTACTACATCTCCTTTCTTCAGTTCAATCTCTGTAGGAATCCGAGGATAGTGATCAATAATTGCTACTTGGTTGTGGTCACCTTGTCCACCGAAGTAGAATATATCATCCAATGAGTGGAAGTTACTCGAGGCATCAGGATGCTCAGTTTGCATAATTTCATAAGCCAAGCGGCACACCTGAGAAAGAACACATGAAGATATGTTAAATATATTTAAGCAGTTAAACATGTTTATGGATTCTAGACAAAAAAAAATGTTATAATCAGGTTATAACAGGTGCAAGCTATCAAGATTGCTTAAATCACTGACATTTGAAAATATTTTTTTAAGTTCACAGCTTGTGTTAAAGTTTTCTATAACTTGTTTATCTTCTGGTTTTTTTTAGATGATTACTTTTATAATATTAGGTTAACGACATTTTTTCCTTATATTTATTTTATTCATCTGATCACTGTAACTACGCTCTCTGACAGCAATATCTGTGTTAATAGTTTGCTTAAAAACACTTTACCACTTGATTATATAAAATTTAAGTTACTTATAACAACATCTCAAATTAAATAGAGTTATCTTTAGTTAACATGAGATGCTCAATATAAAGATAGGAAACCAAAACCTCAAATGAATTCGTGTAGTTTATGTTTTTTACAGAAAATTTATGAAATTTCAGAAAGTTCTAAAGTATGGATTAATTTTTAAAAACTTCCTTTATCCAGTTTCATGCCTACAAGTTTTGATTACAAAATTGATTATTTAAAACTGTGTGAACTATGCTGCTCAGTTTCACACACGGTTTTACAAGTATAGAGCACACTTAGTGATTAAATTGTTTGTAGATAAATAAAAACATTATAAAACTAAACAGATACAAGATTAAATTCAACAATAAATATGTCCATAACATATACCATAAAAGCACAAAACAAAAGTTAATTTTTTTTTTTCAAGACAGTAACAAAAAGTAAGTTTCCACAGCCAGTTACTCTTTACCTTTAACAGTATATCAACTTGCCCATATGTAAGCTAGGTTGAATAACATTAAGGGTATGTAGTTCATTGGTTGTTTTGGTGCTGCATTTTTTAATTTCTTGAAAACTACTGCAGCTATGGAATTAATGCCTATAAAATCTTACATGAACAGAAAACACACATGAAGCACTTTTAATCACAGTTTAATACTTAATGAAATTAAGAAAGTGCAAGTTTTTCATTTAAACATGGTGATATGGAAGAGGAATGAAAAACAATGGCAACGTATGAACATTGGCAAATAGAATAATAAAGTAACTTATGGTTTTATGCAACTTGTCAGTACTTGAAAAAGTCTCATGGTAATGATTATTTCTTAGGATTCCCTACCTTTGTATCTCAGTATTATGACCGACTGGAACAATACAAATATAAGTGTATGTTTAAAGAAATGGCTGAACTTAACTAATAGGAAACTAATAGGAAATGGATGAGATTTACACTGCTTACTGCAGCATAACACAACTAGTTAAACCAGTTAGATGGAGAGTGACACCCAGGAGGACCCCACAGCGTGCATGCAGTGAAAGAGTGGCAAAGAACAACAATATCCAAGAAGAATTAAGCAGGAAGAGGATTTTAAATTGAGTGACTTATTTAAAAAAATAAATTATCTAGTCAAAAATGTGAAAGTCCACTTATAGAACTAATAAAGTTGGAAACAATTTTATTATTCTGTTTAAAGAACCTATTATTAACAAAGGAAGGACTGGATTACCACTTCTTGAAATTGATGTCACCTTAAATTATACACTAAAACGTTGCCAAAAAAAGGGGGAAAAATGAAAAAATAATTTAATTTTTTTTAAGCAATAAAGAGCATAAATATAAGTAACTATCAACCAATTATTTCTTTATTTTGTTCATTTTTGAAGTTTTTGTTCTTGTTTACATAATAGCTGTAAATTAAGTGGTGTTATTCTTCAAAATTCAATGGATTGTATCATAATATCAAATAAGAAAAATAATCCTTAACTATGATTGATTCTGATAATTTCGTAAGAGTATTTTTATAACTGGGTTGGCACAGATGCTAGAACCATTGCGTGAAATTTGGAAAGTATATTGTACTTAACATCAATTAATCAGAAAGCTTAAAAAACAAAAGTAACAGAAGAAATCATTTTAAGAAATTTTAAAAAATGAGAGAAAAGTTACTGAGGCATTTGGGAGGTACCTCATACATAAAATAATTAAAATAACTAATAAACAACAGAATAGGCTTTTTGTTAAATACTTCTTAAAAGTTATATCATGATACTGAATTAAACATTACCTAAAATAGTAAAGGATCATTTCTAGTATTTGACTGTTTGATCTTGATACAAAATACTGAATAGGTTTTTAAATAGCATTATTTTTAGTTTACTGTTTCCTATGTTAACTGTAGCTTTTCTTTAATGTAATAATTTTTAGAATATTTTATTTATTTATTTAAAACTGATAACTTACATTTTGCTGTATATTATAGTGACAAGCCCATTCAGAGCAATTTCAATTCTACATGATTTCATAAGTGTTGTAATATTGTTAGAATGGTGAAAAAGCATTTTCTATTAACCCTAATCTTTTTAAAAGTTGTTTATTTTTAAAGCCTTAGTGCAAAAAATATTCATTCATTAAGAATTAGAGAAAATGAGAGAGCTTAGATAAGGAGAAAAAATGTAGAAAATATTCATTCATCAGGTCTTTAACTGAAATGGTGCAGATAGTGCTTCATCATACCTCAGTGACAGCTTATGTAATAAAAAAAAAGGTTCAGAAAGTATTTACTAATCAGATATTAGGCAAATAGGTCAGAAAAAAAGAAAAGGCAAAATAAAATATTCACTCACCAAAACCTAGATATTTACCTGAGAAGAAAAGGTGCAGACTAAATAGTCACATTTGGATAAAATATGAATGTCCATAATTACGCCTTTCAAAGCTTCTGATGAATAACGGGTTCCAATGGCAGCACTCTTAGATATAGCTGGATCACCAAGAAAAATGTATTTCGGAAATCTGAGAAAAAAAACACACAAAATGAACATACAAAAGAATATATTATTTCAGTTAACAATGAGTATTATTTAGGAAAAAAAGCATGTATATTATTCATCCTATCTGAGTTAACTGTCCACTAAACCAATTCATGCAAGTCTACCCATGCATTTTATAGCTTAAAATATAAAGAAATATAATTTGATAACTATACTTGTACAAAACGTTTACAATAACAAGAACTTACAAACTAATAATAATTACATATGAGCTTTCATACACTTTTGTTATATGAAGCCAGAGGACCTGTCAAGCTTCTCAAGAAAAAATTGGTGAATTCATTGAAATAAACGATAATGATCATTTAATATCTTACAGCTGGAAAAAAAATTAAAGATGACTTCCAAACTTACAAAACTTGACAGTGATAAACTGAACTTTTTAGTTGTATCAGGATATAAGGGAACTCTGATAATTATCATATATCTACCATATAAAGATGAAAAGCTGCCCATCTGTTTGTCTGTCGCACTGATATCCCAGCCGTTGTGGTACCGATCGATAGGCAACTTGCACAAAATGATGGCTCTTTCTGCCACGACAAGCAAGTTTGTCTTTTTAAAATTCTACCAGCCACATATATAAGTGGACAATGTCCCATGCTTGGTGTTACTGGCACACAAAAATAATAATTATTGGCTGAAATTCCCCATTAAGTTTGCTTGGTTGTCAAGGGGATACACTGATGCAACGTCACCAGATTTTGTCCAATTGGATCCCTCGGCTACAACTCTATAATAACCTGCACGTTTTACCCACAGCACATTTCAATTATGAAAATGCCCAAATTAAAGCATGCTTCTTTAGCTCAGCAGGCTAACAAAGCAAAAAACAGGGAGATGGTCCAAAGAGAAGATATTGAAATTCATAATAAAATTTGCTGCCTTTACCATCACAATTAATAATCTGTAGGGCCATACAGTTGACCAAATAGGAATATGTCTTTGAGAATCAGTTTTTTTGCATATTTCAATCT